ATAGCCAGCCACTTACAGGGAGTAAAAAAACATGTAACTCTTCGGAGAGCTTCCTAAAGAAAAAGTAAAACTTCAAGGGAGAATATAGCTAATATCTGCATAGCTGGTATGCAAGGCATTTGAAAAGTTGGATTTTATTTGCATGTTTTGGTTTATGAATATTTTGGTAGTTTTTGCAATTTATATGTGTTGTGCACTGGTGAATGATACCTGAAATTTGGAAAATTTAAAAGTTATACTAGTTTCATAGGCTAACTTCATAAATTTGGTTTGTATCTCTGAATAATCTAGTCATTTCAAATTTTAAGATAAAATGTTTAAGTTTCCTATCATGTAAAACTATTTTATAAACTATATTACGAACTAGTTGAACTGTATTTCAATTTGTGGTAGTATTTTCCATAATCTTTAATGACATGTGCGTATTTTAGTACATAAGAATCTGGTAATTCATTTTAACTTTCCTTACAGACAAACTTTCCAGAAATGATGAATAGATATAAACAACTATTGACCTATATTCGGAGTGCAGTCACAAGAAATTATTCTGAAAAATCCATTAATTCTATTCTTGATTATATCTCCACTTCTAAACAGGTTAGACTCAATTTTGGCTCTTGATACTATCACTGTGTTTATTATTTATAGTAAGGGCTTTGTTCTTTAAAAGAAAAGGTCTCTAAGAATTATATTTAAGCAGTTTATCTTCAGATACAAAAATAAGCTGCAGACAACTTTTGTAAGTTTATATTGGACTTCCATACAGTTACTATTACAGTCCTGTCTTATAACTTCTGTTATCACTTTAGCCATTCAGAGGTGTTGAATAACTTAATGCTGAATCATAGGTTGTTTGTGTAGATTTGATTAGGTTAAGATCCATAAGAAGCACTTGTATTTTTATCAGTCAGTACTTGGCGTTACTCAATAGGTGCTCAATAAATGTTTCTACAAAGGATGGGTGGGTGGTGGAAGAAAGTGCCAGTGACAAAAGAAACTAAGATGGGCATTTGGGAGTAATAATACTTCCATTAGTCTAGAGTTTTGTTGTTAAGGAAAGCAGTGATGATTTATATATGTATACGTGTATTTTTTGCTGAGTTTTTTTATTTTTTATTTTTTTTGAGACAGAGTCTCATGTCACCCTCAGTACAGTGCTGTGTCATCACAGCTCACAGCAACCTCAAACTCCTGGGCTTAAGCAGTTCTCTTGCCTCAGCCTCCCAATAGCGGGGACTACAGGCACCCACCACAATGCCTGGCTGTGTTTTGTTGCAGTTCTCATTGTTTAGCTGGCCCAGGTTCAAACCCACCAGCCTCAGTGTACGTGGCTAGCGCCGTAACCACTGTGCTATGGCTGCTAAACTCTGCTGAGATAATTTTAAATTGGATTATTTCTTTGTGTTTTTTTAAGTCGCTTACTAATCCTCAGCTTTAGCTTTTTTATTCTATATTTGAGCCCAAGATAATATTCTTTATATCACTTAGTATTTCATAGAACATTTTTGATACTGTTTGTACTCATAATAAAATGAGTTCATCTCAGAATCAGCCTCTCATTTCCTATCTTCTCTACTCAATGTCATTTTTATTTCTTAAGGCAGTTTATTTCTACTCTTTATATTTAAAATGTATGAAATGAGAATAGAGGAAGGTAAACTTACATGTTTTGTTATAGTATTAGCACTTAATAACAGTAATTCTAGAGGTATGTATCTTGAACTTAAGCAGGAAAATATTTTCCAAGTCTTTTAAACAGGTGTCATTAAAACATTTTTGGTGGCTCAGCGCCTGTGGCTCAAGCAGCTAAGGCGCCAGCCACATACATACACCTGAGCTGGCGGGTTGGAATCCAGCCCAGGCCACCAAACATCAATGATGGCTGCAATCAAAATATAGCCGGGCGTTGTGGTGGGCACCTGTGGTCCCAGCTACTTGGGAGGCGGAGGCAGGAGACTATCTTGAGCCCAGGAGTTGGAGGTTGCTGTGAGCCGTGATGCCACAGCACTCTACTCAGGGTGACAGCTTGAGGCTCTGTCTCAAAAAAAAAAAATTTTTTTTTTTGGTAACACTATTTATAAATGTTATTGCCAGATTTGAGTGGGGGAGAAATTAAATGATTTTAAAACTTCAACATTACATACTTCTATGTGCTATCATATGTAAGCTTTTTGTCTTTCAAAGTAGATACTGGGTGGGTAGTACTCTAAGACAGAGTGTGCAGTATGCCATCAGTATTCATGAAATAGACACCCTTTCCTGTAAATAAACTTTCCTCCTGTCATGGTCAGTCTTCTTACCTCTTGATCCTGTTAAATAGAGATTTAGAGAATTGGATATTCAAACAAAGGTAAAGCCAGTAGTTGGAGGAGGAGAGTAAGCAGGGGAACTTACCACAATGAAAAACAAATGGTGATTTCTATGAAAAATGTCACAAAGGATTGTAAATTGGTGGTGATTACAGACCAGTAAAATTGTACCCTACTTTTCTCTTTACCTAGCTCTATGATTTCCTAATGACTTAAAAGCTGTATAGTTTAGTTAATTACTCAAAGAAGAATTTTGAGAGGACAGGTTTATTTTTTGTTTCTTTAGCAGCTTGCTTAGTGTTTGCCTCATTATTAGGTACCAAAAGGGATTGAGTGAATTCAGCATACATTATGAGTAATAGTGCAAGTAGTTGTATGTACACATCATTTACTTCCATTAATATAAAATGAGTTATTAGATTAGGAAGGACAGGCCTATACTCTTATAGCTTTTGAACTTATGGTGATATAGTATATATAGGAAAATGTTTTCTGGGTTTGTAAAACAAACATTAGAAAGAGATCTTGGCACTTGTAAATTGGGTTTATAGTTTGTTTCAGTTTTGTTAATTTTTTGGACTATAGAAGACATTCAGTAAGATACAGATAGTGTATCTTATGTGTATTGAAATTCAAAGATGCACTTTTAGTTTGTTCAAATTAACTTTATTAACAGGTACAAATTTGCTGTTTACAATTATAGAATTCTGATTTTTTATGTCAGATGGATTTACTGCAGGAATTCTATGAAACAACACTGGAAGCTTTGAAAGATGCTAAGAATGATAGACTGTGGTTTAAGACAAACACAAAGGTAACAATTGTAATTACTTATTTTTTTTTTCCCTCTGAAAAGTGGGTGGATGTTCTTAATAAATTCTCCTAAAGTTACATACCTTCTCATGTTGAAATCTTTTGATTTTAACAAGTTTACTTTCTTTCAGCTTGGAAAATTATATTTAGAACGAGAGGAATATGGGAAGCTTCAAAAAATTTTACGCCAGTTACATCAATCCTGCCAGGTAGCATTCATTCCCTTTTTTTCCTTAATATTTCTTTCTTCATAATTAAAAAAAAAAACATAAATAATTATACTTAAATATGGTTAGGGATGTTTTTGCTTAAGCATCGTCTCAAAAACAAAATTAGAAAAATAAGTTATAAATATGCTAATTTTTTATGAGTGTTGCATTTCTTTCTGTTTTAATCCTAATTTTAGTCCTTATCCTTTTTGGAGTGAGGTACTGGTATACATAGGATAGGCCAGTCATTATACTCACTAAGAACTGATTTTAGTTATATACCTGATGAAAAAAAAACCAGGATGTTACTATAAACTTATAAAGATATTTTATATTCGAACTTACGTTATGAATCCTCTGTAGCAGCACTGTCCAATAGAACTTCAAATGATGCTGAAAATGTTTGATATTTGTGTTATCCAGTGTAATAACTAACATAGCTGTGTGTAGCTATCAAGCATTTGAAATGTGACTAACATCACAGAGGTACTGAGTCTTTAATTTTATTTAATTTAATTAATTTAAATTTGAATAGCCATATGATTAGGATGGCATGCTTGTGCAGTTTTTTAACTGGACTATTTTCTTCTTTGTTTTGATCAAATAAGTCATATGATATTAGTTTAAATTATATGTAGAAATATTATTTTAAATATTAAGATCTTCCACTGCCCTGTACTATTATTTTAATAATCTACATGTTGTTTCTGTAAATAGGGGAAACAATCATGAAATTATTCTAAACAGTTCATCTGCAGGTATTTTTATTTAATTGTTTTGCCTTATAAAGCAGATCAGTTACACATGAATTATTTCTTACCTACACATTCTTAGGAAAGTATAGTCTGATTCATAAATAACTATAGGTTCAGTTCCATGTGAAATGGAAATGTTAGGGAAACCATTTCTCAATGGAAAAGGGTCTTTCAGTATGAATATAAGAACTATGAAAAAACCCTCTGGGAACATAAGAAAAATGCTATCTGTGAGTTTGGTGTGGTGGCTCACACCAGTAATTCCAGCACTTTTGAGAGGCTGAAGTAAGAGGATCACTTCAGGCCTAAAGTTTGAGACCAGCCTGGGCAACATAGTAAGACTCTGTCAGTTCAAAAAATATAAACGTTAGTTGAGCATAGTGGCATGTGCCTGCGGTTCCACACTTATTTGTGAGAGACTAAGGCAGGTGGAGAGCCCAGGAGTTTGAGGTTGTATTGAGCTGTGATGATGCTATTGAACTCTGTCCTGAGAAACAGAGTAAGACCCTGTCTCTCCCAGTCCCTCCTCCCCAAAAAAAAGAAAGAAAAAGAAAAATGGTTACCTGGATTGTAAATGGCAGTGTAATATGTAATATTTTGATGGAATTATGTTCAAGCAGAGATCCATGATAATCTGAATTTACAACTTTACTCTGGTTTTGATTCATTAGTGAATAAACAGAATTTTAAGTTGGAAGACCCAGTAGACAATACATTTCTGTCTAGTGTATGTCAATGTTTGATACTTAGGAATATCTGACTGTTGGCCATGTGCTGTTTATCATGGCTCATGTTTCGGGGCTGTTGGTCATTTTTAAAGTTGAGTTCAGTGTCACCACCTTTGTGATTCTTTTCATATCCCTAGAGTGTTAGTCCCTTACTCTCCCATTCTCCTAGGCACTTGGTTCATGCTTCAACTGGAATAAGTATCATGTATATGATAATTTATCTTTTGACAGATTAGTCTTCTAGTAGAATGTGAACTTTTTGAGACCAGAAACCTTGGCTTATTTAACTTTGTATTTCCTTAAGGTAGACACAGTGCCTGCACATGGAAGGCACTCAGGAAGTGCTTTTTGATTAAGTGGATCTAAAGCAGTTGTGAAGATTTGGGGGAAATAAATCTCCTAGATAAAAATGTAAATCCTATAATCTTTTCTACATACACTATAGTTGTCCCTTCTTATCTGTGGTTTCTCTTTCCATGGTTTCAGTAACCTGCGGCCAACTATAGTCTGAACATACTAAGATATTTAGAAGGAGAAAAAGAAACTGATCACATAACTTTTATTACAGTATATTGTTACAATTGTTCTATTTTATTGTCAATTCATTATTGATTTCTTACTGTGCCTAATTTACAAATTACATTTTGTCATAGATATCTATGTACAGTAAGCCCTTATTGCATGTCATTGATAGGTTCTTGGAAGCTTTGACTTTAAGTGAAGTGATGTACAGCCGATGCTCAAAAAGCACTGGTTTGTTATAATATTGATGAGCAGGAAAACGTTGGTTTCATTATACATCGCTTGAAGTCAATTTCTGAGGACCTGTCAGTGAAGTACAGATTTACTCTATAGGAAAAATGTATGTATAGGGTTCAGTACTACCCATAGTTAGAAATATCCACTGGGAGTCTTGGAATACATCTTCTGTGGATATGAGGATACTACTGTACAAAAACTTCTAACTTGTCCAATAACTTTTCCTTATGTAATAACTAGCAAGTAGAATGTGTTGCTTCTTTTTAGCCATTAAAAATGGTGTAGTTAAGTACTCTAGTTCCCAAGAAAAATTTGCACTGCATTTTCACAGAGAAATAGTGTTATAAATGTAAAGTTCTCAGGCTAAGGGAACTGTCTAAATTCTATCTTTGCTAAAGTTAAGTATTTGCTTTCCTAGACTGATGATGGAGAAGATGACTTGAAAAAAGGTACACAGTTATTAGAAATATATGCTTTGGAAATTCAGATGTACACGGCACAGAAAAATAACAAAAAACTTAAAGCACTCTATGAACAGTCACTACACATCAAGTCTGCCATCCCTCATCCACTGATCATGGGAGTTATCAGAGGCAAGTTTGGTTTGGAGAGGGTGGGCAGTGACATGGGAAGATGTCAAGGTATCTGATAAAACATTTATTTGCTTTTTAGAATTAAAGTATATACTTCGGGGCCAATTCTATTCTAGTTATAGAACTAAAAGGCTGAAAGCACTGACCTAGTTTTCATTAGATCTTTATAAACTGGTCAGTCTTCTTATTACAAAACTGAAAATGTTCTCTTTTCTCATGTTTTATTCTTTACAGAATGTGGTGGTAAAATGCACTTGAGAGAAGGTGAATTTGAAAAGGCACACACTGATTTTTTTGAAGCCTTTAAGAATTATGATGAATCAGGAAGTCCAAGAAGAACCACTTGCTTAAAATATTTGGTCTTAGCAAATATGCTAATGAAATCGGGAATTAATCCATTTGACTCACAGGAGGTGTGTGCGCTTTAATTGTTAATTCTCTTATCAACTGTCTTTTGTGGAAATAAATGCAATTTCTTTGTACATGTACACAGTTAATTTTTTTCTTTCTTTTTTTTTTTTTTTTAACTGTATTTAGGCCAAGCCGTACAAAAATGATCCAGAGATTTTAGCAATGACAAATTTAGTAAGGTAAGATTTTATATCTCTGTTAAGGTAAATTTTCTCTTTCCTCTTAGGAGAGAGACAGAAAATTCAGTTTATGTTCAATATTTGCTCTTTTATATTTCCATATGAAATATTTGAAAATTTATAAAATTTTTATCTTAAGTTATTTTTGCTGTTTTCTGTAGTCACTTGATTTTGTAAAGTATCCGCTGCTGCTTGGTTTTCTTATATTCATGTGTTTGTGTACATGCATCCACATGCACACCTCCTGTTTTTTGCAGGAAAAGTATGAATGTCTTAAATTATTATCTTACAATGTTTACCTCCCTTAATCCAAAATGAAATTATGGATTAATCTGAAAAAAATGAAAAATTTTCAGTAAAGCAGCACTGCATAAACATATTTCTATACTCATATTTTCTCAATGACAAGATGAAAATATCATTTAAAATGTACAATTTTCTGAGGTTAAGGGTGGAGAGAAAGAGTGAAAAACTTAATGATTTTGTAAATTCTTCTGTGGAAAAAGATAGGAATAATGATGGTTAGCCACTGACAACCCTGCTGTAATCAGCTAAAGAAAATTATAAAAGATTAGACCAGACAGAGCCTAGAAGAGAAAGCCTATTTTTGCAAAAAGAATCACAGAACAAAAGAAACTTTTCTCTGGGCTAGTAACAAATGGAGCCCTAGTCTGTTGTGGGCTTTCTTTGTAAGGAATTACAAGAAACTTAGTAAGTTTCTTCAAGTCTTTTACTTGTAGTTGGACAGCTGAGTTTATCAAGGCCAGGAAAATTGTAGTTAGAGGCTTGGCACCTATAGCATAATGGTTGGCGCTGGCCACATACACCAAGGATGGTAGTTCAAGGTTCAAACCTGGCCTGGGGCAACTAAACAACACTGACAACTGCAACTGTAATCCCAGCTACTTGGAAGGCTGAGGCAAGAGAATCACTTAAGTCCAAGAGTTTGAGGTTGCTGTAGCTGTGACAGCAGCCACAGCACTCTACCAAGGGCAACATAGTGAGACGCTGTGTCAAAAAAATAAATAAATAAATTTGTTTCCCCAACTATCCTTAAGAAAAAAAAAGAGAAAGAGAAATGTAGTTAGAGACACAGGACAGACTTGTTGTATATGCAATAACTTACATGTAAATGTAGATAATTTAGATTTAGATGACCACATTCTTTCTAATACTATTAGATACTATTCTTTCATCATTAAAAAAAATACTGTTAGACTACAAACTATGAGTTAACCTGCAAAATAAATTTTATATATGTATATTTCATGTTAAGCTATTTTCCTACGTAAATGTCTTCATTTACTTTGTTGTTACTTGGCTCTGACTTTCACAAGTTATTGATATTTGGTCTTTTGTTTTAAGAACCCTTAATTTTAGCTGTAAAAAAAAATAAAAATCAGGGTTTTTTTAAGAGGGACTATAGATGGCTGGGGGAAAAAAACCCTAAATTGCCACATTAAAAAATTAATTTATTGTTGATTGTTAACTTTAATATATATTATTGAATTAGGTTGAGTTTTTTACCTAATGAAAGGAGACTTCTCTATCTTTGACAGTATCTTTATCAGTTAAGAGCCGATTTGGTTAGAGATTAATTTCATAATACTTTTAAAAATTGTTTATAATGTTAAATTGCTAAGTAAAAGTTTTAACTTTTAAAATACTTCAAGAAATATGGGGGGGGGAGCAAGATGGCCAAATAGAAACCTCCAGTGATCTTTGCTTTGTACAAATTTGTACACCAAATTCAACAACTATCCACGCAAGCAAGGACCTTAAATCAGGTGAGCAATCATACTACCTGCTTTTGTTATTATATCAAGAAAAGAGGCCCTGAAGAAGGCAGAAAAGACCATCTTGCCTTGCCTGTGCCACCCCTCCCTCTCTACCAGGAGTGCCATGTCAGCACCCCAAGTAGAGAGAATCTCTGTGCCCAGGGAGAATGGGACTATGCATTGAAACCCAGGACCACTCTAGCATAGGGGAACACAGCCTAGGGCAGAATTCTGTCAGTGCCCACAGAGAAAACATTTAGACTAGCCTGGCCAGAGAGAAATCCTTTGCCCCAAAACCCAGGGTCTACCTAGCCCCCCACCACTGGCTGACAGAAAGGAGTCTAGTATCTGATCTAAGGCTGCAGTCCTTAGGCAGTTCCTCCAGGTCTGCTGGCTCAGAACCGATGGATATGGGATACGCAAGACCAAGCAAGATGCCAGCAGTGGTGGCCAGGACAGTGCCTGTTACCCCTCCCCCACTGACTATAGGCAGTGCAGCTCAAGGACAGTTTTCTTCCACTTGGAGAAAGGAAAGGGAAAAGTTCAAAGGACTTTATTTTGCCCTTGGTACTAGTTCAGCACAGTAAAATAAAGTACCAAATTCTTTGGCCCCTGATTTCAGGTCTTAGTTCCTAGGTGGCATATCCAGATCTACCGTGGCCTAGAAGGAAACAGGAGCTCCAAGGGAAGGACCCTGTCCTGACAGGAGTCACAGTGTACTGACTATAGAGCCCTTGGGCTTTGAATAAACATCAGAAGTAGCCAGGCACAAGGGAGTGCCCACATTATTCTTCCCCCACTACTCCAGCACCTGACACAGAGAGTGAGGAAAGAGAGCAAGAGACTTTGCCAGATAATCCACAGAACTCTCCCTTATTCATGTTCACCAATGTGGTCACAACCAGGAGTCTACAAGAGTCACAGTATTACTGGGCTTAGGGTACAAACCAGATACAGCTGTAGTGACCAAAGACTGAGATCATAACACTTGATTCCCTTTAAATACTTGTAAATCTTTCTCAAGAAGATGGTTTCAAACAAGCCCAGACTATGAAAATTAAAATAAATACCTAACTCTTTAGCCCAGACATCAGTGAACATCTGTAAGCATCAGGAACACCTGGGAAAACGTGACCTCACCAAACAAATGCTCCAGTTACCAACCCTGGAGTAATGGAGTTAGTGACCTTTCAGACAAAGAACTCAAAATAGCTGTCCTGAAGTAGCTCACTGAACTTTTAAGACAACACAGAAGGAATTCAGGAGCCTATCAGAAATTTAACAAAGAGATTGAAATAATTTTTAAAGTTAAGCAGAAATTCTGGAGTTCATTTGACAAACTGAGAACTGCATTAGTCTCTCAAAATTAAAATGACCAAACACAAAAAATAATCAGTGAGCTTGTAGACAGGCTATTTGAAAATACACAAAAGAGAAAAAAAGAAAAAAGAATGAATCACACCTACAAAATTTAGAAAATACCCCAAAAAGGGCAAAGCCAAGAGTTATTGGCCTTAAAGAGGAGGTAGAGAAATAGGTTGGAGTAGAAATTTTATTCAAGAAATAATAACGGCTCAGCACCTGTAGCTCAAGTGGCAAAGGCACCAGCCACATACACCAAAGCTGGCGGTTCGAGTCCAAACAACGACATCTACAACCAGAAAAATGGCCAGGCGTTGTGGTGGGCTCCTGTAGTCCCAGCTACTTGGGAAGTTGAGGCAAGAGAATCACTTGAGCTCAGGAGTTTGAGGTTGCTGTGAGCTGTGATGCCACAGCACTCTACCCAGCGGGGCAGCTTGAGGCTCTGTCTCCAAAAAAAAAAGAAATAATAACAGAATATCAATATTCAGGTACTAGAACCGTGGTTCTCAACCTACTGATGCCGTAACCCTTTAATACAGTTCCTCATGTTATGGCGACCCCCAACCATAAAATTATTTTCACTGCTACTTCATAACTGTAATTTTGCTACTGTTATGAATTGTAATGTAAATATCGGACATGCGGGATGGTCTTAGCCGACCCCTATGAAAGGGTCATTCAACCCCCAAAGGGTTGAGAACCGCTGTACTAGAAGGTCATAGAACACTAAGCAAAATTAACACAACCAAAGTTACCTCGAGTCATTTTAATGATAAAGCTCCCAAAGGTCACAGATAAAGGAAGGATTCTGAGAGAAGAAAGGAAAAAGAAGCAGATAATATAGGAGCTCCAATACATCTGGCAACAGATTTGTCAGTGAAAATGGTGTGGGCTAGTAGAGAATGGCATGACATATTTATAGTGCTAAGGGAAAAAAACCTTCACCCCAAAATATTATGCCCTGCAAAAATATACAGATAAAGCTGAGAAATTTTTTCAACACCAGACCTATCCTCCAAGAAATGCTGCAAGGAGTTCTTAAATTTGAAAAAAGGAACATTAACCTTTTGACTGCAAATGAGGGCCATTCAAACATGTTCATATGGTATAAATGAGGCCAAGAGTTCAAGACCAGCCTGACCAAGAGTGAGATCCCATTCTCTGCCCCCCCCCCCAAAAAGTGGAATAAACCAAGCATAGAAAGATAAATCTCATGTTGTCACTCATATGTGAGCACTGAGTATTAAAAGCGGTTGATCTCTTGGAGACAGAGTGTAGAATGATGGTTACCAGCAGCTGGGAAGAGTAGCAGGGAAGGGAGGATGAAGCGGGCATAGTTAATTGGTGCAAAAATGTAATTAGAATGAACAATATTTGATAACACAACAAAGTAGACTATGATCAACAATTATTCATTACAAGAACTAAAAGAATGTATTCAAATGTTCCTAACACAGAGAAGTGATAGTGCCTGAGATGATGGATACCCCAGATACCCTGATTTTATTAAGCCACATAGTAGATCTGTATCAAAGCATCACATTTACCCTGTAAAGAAAACTGAAAATTAAGTCTGTGAACTCATCCTAGAAAAAGTGCTACATACTTCATTGCTGAATCACTATGGTCACTTTCAAAGTACTCTTTTTGGGAAGCACTGACACCAGTCCTAGTCCACCCTTCAAAGCAATTTTGGATACTTTTTTTCTTCATTGGCTATCAGAACTGTCATCATGTTATGGCTATCAGAACTGTCATCATGTTACCCTAGGATGTCCTGAATGTCATCAGTGTCTTCCTTTTACTATGTCTTTATCTTTGGGTAAAGAAAAAAGTCTTTGGGGGCCAGATCAGGTGAGTAGGGAGGGTGTTCCAATGCTGTTAGTTATTTGTTTACTGGCTAAAAATTCCCTCACAGTGCAGTGTGAACTGGTGCATTGTTGTGACCCAAGATCCCATTTTTGCACACACGTTTCTCATGCCAAGATTTTCAGTTAAGATTTTCCTAACCGTTTCTCTTTCAGTGTTACTTGGTCTGCAATACTTCTCATAGTCAGCAAACAATTTTTGACATGCAATTTGATGAATTTTTGCGATGTTTTCATCAGTTCTGCTCATTACTGGCCACTCTGACCTGTCTTTGTCAGTGATACTTTGTCTCTCCCATCAGTGGAAAAATATTTCATCCCTTTGTACACTGCTGTCTTCTTCATGGCATTATCCCTGTAAATTTGTACTAATGTGTCCCTGATTTCACTTCCACTCTTGCCAGGTTTAACAAGAAATTCAGTGTTTGTTCGTTGTTCAGATTCAAGCTCTAACATTTTCAGAGTAGCACCCCAAAACAACAAACACTTATTAGCAAGACACCGCCACACATCGAAACAATACAGCTATGAGACACTGGTGAACCAGGTTATTTGAACCCTTGCCAAGTTCTTTGTACAGTGGGCTGCCAATGTAAGGCGCATGATGGCAAGTTCATGAATTTAATTCTCAGACCCTGTACATATATTCCACATAATAATTACTTTTTTTTTTTTTGAGACAGCGTGTGCCCTGGGTAGTGTGCTGTGGCATCCTAGCTCACAGCCTCCTCGTACTGTTTGGCTTAAGTGATCCCCTTACCTCAGCCTCCTGAGTAGCTAGAACTACAGGCACTTGCCACTGCCCAGCTAGTTTTTCTATTTTTAGTAGAGACGTTGTCTCACTCTCACTCAGGCAGTCCATCAGCCTCGGCCTTCCAGAATACTATGACTACAGCCATGAGCCACCACCCTCGGCCCCCATAATAATTTAAAAGAGAAAAAAAAGGAAATACTGAGGAAAAGTTTTGCCCTAGACATTGATATTTTATATAAATTGAATTGGCTAAGTGCATTTAAGTGGATTAAAAGACTGATTTATCAGACCTTTAAAAAATAAGTATGTATCTATTATCTTTATTCCAATGAAGCCTCTATATTAGAATTCAGAAACTTGTTTTAATGGTAAATTTTAACCCAGATAAGTAAGAACTAACCCATGGTGTCTCACAATATATATAAGATTTTTTCTTTTAAAAATCCACTTGAATAATGGAAAAATGTCCATAGGTTATACATGTACTCAAATATATGTCTGTTCAAATGTTTTTACTGCTTGAATATGTCCTCCTGTAGTATATTAGGATAATGTATTTGGATAGGTAAGAAAATAATGCTTCCTAATTTTATCTTCCTAGTCAGTTGCCAGCAGACTAGAGGAAAATAATTCCTGTTGAAGCACTTGAACCTCCTGCCCCTAACATGAAGTTACATTGCGACCCAACAGATGGAAGCACAGCAGAGGGCATGCAGAATGGCTGATGATATTATCTTACATATAAAGCAGACAGTGGTGCCATATCCAGAAGGTTTGCTTCTTCTCAGCACCTTTAACAATCCCCATAGTGCCTTATGGAATTATTTCAAGAGTAGACACTAGATTCTTGAGAGAATTATGAGCATAAATCAGCCTTTGGCCTTCTGCAACAGGGCATTCCATCATTCTCTACTTGTGTGTGTGCCCACTCGGCATAATTACTGCCCTTTAACTTTCTGCTATATAGCTCAGTGGAATTTTAAGACTAGGGAGAGTTCAGACTCAAATATTCCCTTGTGAAGTTTTGATAGTTGCTGGTGGCATTCTAGAAGATAAAAATTAGGAAGCTGCATTTTCTGAATAACCTTAGAGATGATATACTTTCTTGAAAAGCAAGGCCAAACTCCTTTATGTAGTAATGATCATGAAACCTGTTTTCTTTCATTATGAACAATTAAGGATTCAGCACACAATTTAATTAGAAGACATCAAGCATTAACATTAACTGCCATGTGAATTGTTACGTTAACTTATGCTAGATTTTAGTTTGGAGCCTTGTGAAGCATATATAACTCACATAAAATACCGTGACCCAAAGGAAAAGACTTTTCTAGTGTGGCAGTCAGTGTATTAAATAGTTAAGTGTTTTGGGGGTTTGGTGGGTTTTGACTGGGGAGGGGTGGTGGTTCATGGTTCTGTTTTTGTTTTGAGAAAGGGTCCTGCTTTATCATCCAGACTAGAGTGCAGTAGTATCATCGCTTACTTCAACCTCCAACTTCTGAGCTCAAGCAATCTTCCTCCCTCAGCCTGCTGAGTAGCCACACTCCACCATGCTCAGTTAGTTTTCTTTTCTTCTGTGGAGATAAGGTCTTGCTAAGTTGCTTAGGCTGGTCTCAAACTTGTGGCCTCCCAAAGTGCTGGGATTACAGGCATGAGCCACCCCAACAGTCAATAGGTGTTAAAATGTTTTATTGTCAACTTCAACAAAAGTAAGATTTTGAGATGATTTTAATTCTCTATGTATAAATATAATATATAACCCCCAAAAGATTTGTTCGATCTTTGCTTTAACAACCAAAAGCAGCTGGGTGTGGTGGCTCTCATCTATAATCCTAGCACCTTGGGAAGCCTAGGTGGGAGGATTGCTTGAACCCAGGAGTTCAAGACCAGGCAGAGTGACATGAAGAAATCCCATCTCTACAAAAAAGTTAAAAATTAGCTGGATGTGGTGGCATGTACCTATAGTCTAGCTTCTCCAGAGGCTGGGGCAGGAGGATCCCTTGAGTGTCGGAGCTCAAGGCAGCAGGGAGCTATGAGCATGCCACTATATTCCAGCCTGGGTAACAAGAGCAATACCCTGTCTTTTTTTTTTTTTTTAAAGGCATTAAAAAGGTGATTGGGATTTTTTGTTTGTTTGTTTGTTTTTGGCAGAAGGATGTGTGTATATTTACATCCATCCTTTATTTTCATTTTTGCATATAAAAATTAAGAACAGACTCGTAGGTGATCTGGTTTAATACATGACTTTATGTTTGACAGAATTTACCTTTTGTTTTTGTGTTAGTGCCTATCAGAATAATGACATCACTGAATTTGAAAAGATTCTGAAAACAAATCACAGCAACATCATGGATGATCCTTTCATAAGAGAACACATTGAAGGTATACTTTATCAGTTAACTAAATTCTGTTACTGTCTTTGCACTGTCAATTACTATTTAATGGAGCTACATGGAATTAAGCTGTTTTCTTTGGTTTATTGAAAAGTATAGAACTGTTTCTAAATGTTATTATGGACCTGGGTACTTCCTGAAATTATGAAACTGTTTTTAAAAAATCATTAGCCAGTTTCGTATAAATATATTAGTTCTTAATATGATACCAATTTTGTTTAAGGTCTTTTTACCTTTTTAATCTAATTTAGGTATTGTTGCATGTTTACTGTTGATGCTTAGGTTCAAAGTTAATTTTTAGGGTTTATTTTTGACCAATAAAAGCTTTGAAAATATTCTGCTATGGATAATACTAAGGTGCATGTATATAAAAGTTTAGGTAATGTTGGGAAGGTTTCATACTAATAAGTGAATGAGATTTTTAATAAGTTTTATCAGATACCTAAAGATGAAAATTATCCCTTTGTTCTGAGACTTTTATAGCTTCAATGCTGGCATCTATTATGGAGCTGTTTGAAGGTTTTTAAATGGCCATTTGGAACTAAATTCCAGATGTATCAGAAAAATCTGAAGAATACATCAGAAGTAATATTCTGTTATTCCCTACCTGTCTTTGTCTTTCATTCAGCATACATTTAAAAGTTCTTATATGAGTCTACTAATATAAACCTGTGTACTACTGTACTGTACTTCGTAAATATATAAAAACGTAAAGGCTTTGTCCACAAACTCCAATCTAGTTTAAAAAAATTAAAAAGACAAATTATATATGAAGAAACTGGAGGAAATTGTGAAAGCATTATATAAAACACAGGTTTTGAGAGTGTAAAACAAGGAACATGACTGGTGTACATTAGTGTCTCTTGATGTTAACTATTGAGAGATGATGGAAACTGAAATATAATTGAGAGAAGGCACAAGGATATTTGATAGTAGAGTCACAACATCAGATTAGGGAGGCAGAAACCAGAAATTATTTGATGGGCAGCTATTGATCATACTATACCTCCATTGGGCCCAAATACTTTAAAATATAAGCATTTCATGTCCTTGCCAGGCAGAAAGTATATTTTGGAAGGATAAATGATAGAATCAATATGACTGAGTATATGATTCATAAATATGCCATACAAACTGTTAAATACAAATATATTATTAAAATTTTGTCTTTTCTTTCAGAACTTTTACGAAACATCAGAACACAAGTGCTCATAAAATTAATTAAGCCTTACACAAGAATACATATTCCTTTTATTTCTAAGGTACTTATATTCATGGATTTTAATGATGTTTATAATTTGTACTTACATATAGTATGCCTATCTTCCATTTAAAAAAATGACTTTTAACTTGGTAATATTTTATAATAATATATTTTTTAAATTAAACATAAGGGCTTTACCTTTATTTTTTTATGAGGCAGGGTCTCATTGTGTTGTCCAGGCTGGAATGCAGTGGTTATTTATGGCACTGTCATAGTAAACTATGGCCTCAAACTCCCAAGCCTCATGCACTCCTCTCTAAGCCTCCTCAGTCTTGAATTGATGTGAATTTTTCTGTATTTTCTTGGCATAAATTAACAGGAAAGATCTTTAACTTCACAGCACAAAAATTGGGAATCACTAAAAATTCCTTTTAAAAATTCTTTCAACCTCTGAGAAAATTGTAGGAGAGAATGGTAGCTAAAATATAATACTGATTAAGGGTCAACCTGATCACAATAAAATTGTGGTAGGAATATACTTTGCAAGTTACCAAGTTGCAAAGGTCCTTACTAGACCTTTGTTTCAGTAATAATGAAGTTTGTTTAAAAATCTTCTCTTCGTGCTCACTTTGGCAGCACCTGTGCTAAAATTGGAATGATACAGAGAAGATTAGCATGGCCCCAGCGCAAGGATAACACACAAATTTGTGGCTCAAGTGGCTAAGGCGCTAGCCACGTACACCTAAGGTGGCCAGTTCGAATCCAGCCTGGGCCCGCCAAACAACAATGACGGCTGCAACCAAAAAAATAGCCGGGCATTGTGGCGGG